CATAAACAGAATTAAAAACAAAATCACATGATTATCTCAACAGATGCAGAAAAAGTACAATGAAATCCAGTGTCCCTTTATGATTAAAACTATCAGTAAAATCAGCATACATGGGACATACCTTAATGTAATAAAATCCATCTATGACAAACCCACAGGCAACTCAACACTGAATGGGAAAAAGTTGAAAGCATTCCCCCAGAGAACTGGAAAAAAACAAGGATGCCCACTCTCACTACTCGTCTTCATTATAGTACTGGAAGTCCTAGCCAGAGCAATCAGACAATAGAAAGAAATAAAAGGCATCCAAATCAGTAAAACAGAAGTCAGACTGTCACTGTTTGCTGAAGATAAGATTGTTTATCTTGAAAACCCTACAGACTCCTCCAGAAAGCTCCTAGAACTGATAAGAGAATTCAGTAAACTTTCTGGATACAAGATTAATGTACACAAATCAGCCTTTTCTACACACCAACAATGACCAAGCAAAGAATTAAATCAAGAAATCAACCACTTTTACAATAGCTGCAAAATAAATAAATAAATAAAATACTTAGGAATACACCTAACTAAGGAGTCAAAAAACCTCTACAAGGAAAACTACAAAACGCTGTTGAAAGAAATCATAAATGACACAAATGGAAACACATCTCTAGTGTGATTTTTGAGGGGTGCTGAAAGAGCTTTGTTTTGTCATATTACCAGGGTTGGTTTTCTGGTTCCTTCTCATTGGGTCAGAGGAAAGGTCTAGGGCTGAAGGCTGCTGTCCAAATTGTTTTGTCCCATGGGATGTTCCTTTGATATAGTACTTTCCCCCTTTTCCTATGGATGTGACTTCCTGTGAGCTGAACTGCAGTGATTGTTGTCTGTCTTCCAGGTCTAGCAACCCAGCAAGTCTACCCAGCTCCGGGTTGGTACTGGGGGTTGTCTATACAGAGTCCTGTGATGTGAACTATCTATGGGTCTCTCCGATATACATTCAAGTGCACATGAAACATTCTGAAGGATAGATTGTATCTTAGGCCACAAAACAAGTCTAACAAATTTAAGAAGACTAAAATCTTATCACATATCTTTTCTGTCTACAATCACATGAACCAAAAATGAATAACAGGGGGAAAAAATAGGAAAATTCACAAATATGTGAAAATTAAACAATATACTCCTGAATAACCAATGGGTCAAAGAAGAAGACAAAAGAAAAATTTTTTTAATCTTAAGACCAATGAAAATAGAAACACAACATACCAAAACTTTGATACAGCAAAACCAGTTCTATGAGGAAAGTTTATAGCAATAAATACCTATATTAAGAAAAAAAGAAATATCACAAATGGACCGTCTAATTTTACACAACAAAGAAATAGAAAAAAGAACAAATTAAGTACAGAGTTAGCAGAAGGAAGGAAATACTAAAGATCAGAGCTGAATAAAATGGAGACTAGAAAAATAATTTAAATGATCAATATAAAAAATAATATAAAAAGATCAATATGAGTTGCCTTTTCAAAGGATAAGCAAAATTGACAAACCTTTGCCTAGACTACTACAAAAAAAAGAAAGAAGACTCAAGTAAATAAAATCAGAAATGAAACAAGAGACACTACAATTGATATCACAAAAATGCAATCATAAAAGACTAATATGAACAATTACATGGCAAGAATTTGGCCAACCAAGAAGAAAGAAAGAAATTCCTAGAAACACACAACCTACCAAGAACGAATCATAAAGAAAATCTGAACAGACCAATAATGAGGGAGGAGAATAAACCAATAATCAGAAAGCTCCCTAATGAAGAAAATTCCAAGACCTGAGAAGTTACCCTCAAGCATTGGCATTACTTCTCTAAATACTTAGAATTCACCAAACTCTTCCAAGAAACTGAAGAGGAAGGAATACTTCCAAACTTACTTTATGAGGCCAGCATTAATGTGATACAAGAAGGCTGTAAGAATAGAAAATTACAGGTCAATATGCCTGGTGAAAATAGATGGACATATCCTCAAAACAATATTTTCAAACCAAATTCAATCACACATTAAAAGGATCATACACCATGATCCAGTGAGATTCATCCCTAGGATGCAAGGCTGCTGGTTTGACACATGCACACCACCTTAAAATGACAAAGAATAAAAATCATATAATCATCTCAATAGATGCAGAAAAACACTGGACAAATTTCAACATCCTTTAATGATAAAAACTCTCAATACATTAGGAATAGAAAGAATGTACCTCAACATCGTAACAGTATATATGAAAAGCTCACAGCTAACATTATACCCAACAATGAAAAGCTAAAAGCTTTTCCTCTTAAGATGAAGAGCAAGAAAAAATGCTTGCCCTCCTCACCACGTCTATTTAATATAGTACTGAAAGTCCTAGCCAGGGAAATTAGGCAAGAAAAGAAATAAAAGGCATCCAAATTGAAGAAGAAAAAAAAATTGTCTGTTTACCGATCACATAATCTTAATAAAGGAAACCCTAAATATTCCACAAAAAAACCTATTACAACCAATAAATGAATTCAGTAAATTGTCAGGGTACAAAATAAACAACGACAAAAGTCAGTAACATTTCTATACTCTAACTATCCAAAAAATTAAAAAAAGAAAATCTCATTTACAATAGTATTTTAAAATGCACAGAAACAAATTAACCAAGATGGTAAAAGATTCGTACACTGAAAACTACAAAATACTGACAAAATAAACAGAAGACACAAATATATATAATAATATCTAATGTTCATGCTACAAAATACTAACAGAAGACACAAATATATGTAATAATAATATCTAATGTTTGTGGATTATAAAAACTAACACTACTAAAATATCCATACTACCCAAAATTGTCTACAGATTCAATGTAACCCCTACCAAATTCCAATGGCATTTTCCCCTAAAATAGATAAAGCAACCCTAAAATTCATAAGGAAACATAAAAATCACCAAACAGCCAAAGTAATCTAAGAACAAAACAAAACTGTAGGCATCACACTAACTGATTTCAAAATACAATACAAAGCCTTTATAATCAAGATAGCATGATACTGGCATAAAAACAAACATAAATAAATGAAACAGAATAGAGAGCCCAGAAATAAATCCATGCATGTACAGTCAACTGATCTATAAAGGTCCTAAAGAACACACAATGATGAAAACACAGTCTCTTTAATAAATGGTGTCAGGAAAACTGTATGTCCACATGAATGAAACTGGCCAGTTTTCTCACACCACATACAAAAAAATCAATTCAAAATGGATTAAATATTTAAACATAAGACTTAAAATTGTAAACCTACTAGAAGAAAACATAAGGAAAAGCTTTATCACAGTAAAGACAATGAATTTTCGTATATACTCCAACATCACAGGCAAGAAGAGCAAAAATTGACAAACAGGAGTGCATCAAACTAAAAAGCTCTGCACAGCAAAGGAAAGAGAGTAAAGAGACAACCTATGGAATGGGAGAAAACATTTTTGAACCATATATAAGGGGTTAATATGCAAAATACTAAAATATATATTAAGAAACGAAACAACTCAAAAGCAAAAAAATAAAACCAACTTGATTGAAAATGGGCAAAGGATCTCAGTAACATTTGTTAAAAGACATACAAATGGCCAACCAGTATATGAAAAAATGTTCAACACCACTAATCATCAGGATAATGCAAATCAAAACTACAATGAGATACCAGCTCACATCTGTTAGGAAGGCCATTATCAAAAAGATGAAAGATTAAGTGTTGCCAAGGATATGAGAAAAAGGAACCCTTGTATACTGTTGGTGGGAATCTAAAGTGGTACAGACATTACGGAAAATGGTATGGTGGTTCTTCAAAATAAAGTTACCATATGATCCAGCAATCCCACTACTGGGTACATATCTAAAAGAAATGAAATGAGTATCTCCAAGAGGTATCTGCACTCTCATGTTCACTGCAGCATTATTCATAATAGCCAAGATATGGAATCAATATAAGTGTTCGTGAACAGATGAACCAAGAAAGAAAACCGGATATGATGGTATAAACAAATGCGGAATCATGAAATATTATTTGACCTTATAAAAAGAAGAAAATACTGTCATTTGTAATAACATGGATGAATCTGGAGAATCTTATCTAGTGAAATAAGTTAAGGTACACAGAAAGACAAATGATTTCACTTATGTGAAAAAAAGCTAATTGCAAAAGATTGTATACTATATGATTCCATTTAAACTTTCTGAAATAGAAATTTAGAAATAAGGGCAGAAATGAGGTGGGTGTGATTATAAAAGACAACATAGGGGATCTTTCTGGTGATGAAACTACTCAGTATCCATGATAAATAAACCTTTTCATGAGACAAAATTGTATAAAACCAAATAAATACATACACAAGTAAAACTGAAATAATCTGAGTAAGATCAATGGATTGTAGGAATATCCTGCTTGTGGTATTGTAAAATAGATTTTGAGTGTTTTGTTTTGAGACAGGGTCTCGCTCTGTCCCCTAGGCTGAAGTGCAGTGGCACAATCATGGCTCATTATAGCCTCAGCATTCCCCAGGTCTCAGATGATCCTCTCACCTCAGCTGTGGCTGGGACTACAGGTGTGCACCACCACACTCAACTAATTTTTGTGCTTTCTGTAGAGATGGGGTTTTACCATGTTGCCCAGGGTGGTCTCCTGGGCTCAAGTGATCCTCCCACCTTGGCCTCCCAAAGTGCTGGGATTACAGGCATGAGCCACTGCACCCAACTTGTACTACAGTTTTGCAAGATGTTGCCAATGGAAGAAACCAGGTAATAGGACACACAGAATCTCCCTATTTTACGTCATGTAACTGCACTGAATCTACAGCTATCTCAATAAAAATTTCAATTAAGAAATATGTTTTTTAAAAGTTTAGCCTAAGAAGTCAGTCTCCCTGGACTCTGAGTTTTTTTTTGGAGTTTAATTCAAACAGTGTAGCTAGTGTGGGATATAAATGACTTACATTTGGGACATCAATTGCTACTTCCCTCATGGCACTGGGTCTGATATCATTCATTCCCTGCAAGAAATCATTCAGAGTAATCTTCACCAGTCCAGCTACCTTGTCATCAGGGAGATTAGGTTGTTCTTTCAGGATTCTCCGCAAGGCAAAGAGACCTGCAAAGAGAGGAACGTAACACAAGATCTGTCTTTTCCTTCATAAATACAGACTGAATTACTGGCACTGGTGGCCCGTCTGGAGCAGCCACTGTGAAGAAGCCAGCTGCAGTGGGGGAGGTATGGCCAGGACTGTGTACTCCATGAAGCCAGTGGGAGCCAGGAACAGGAAGGAACCCTGCTCTTTTCAAAGTTGGTGGAGCAGGAGCCCCACCCTTCTAGGCACAGCTGCAGCCACCCAGCCACAGCTATGGACCCAGGCACCCCTGCACTCTTGGGAACCCAGGAAGCATCCCCTACCCAGCAGGCTCTGAAGTGCTTGCTTCTACTCCCTGGACTCTCCCCAGTCCCAGAAAAACTTTTTGCCTGCTCAGATTTCAGACCAAAGTTGAGGCTGAGCCGAGCCGCTGTCACAACCCACCTAGGTGTTTACACACTCAAGACAGCACTGACATGCCAGCTCCCTGCCACCTTGGCCCCCTCCAGACTCTGGGTGCCAATGAGCACAGTAGGGAGGCTGAAGAGTAGCAGAGGGTGGCTCAGCACAGTCCTGCAAGCGCCCCTGAGCACAAACAGCCTGAAGCCATGGATGACATGATTGATGGCACTGAATTGATGCAGCAGGAGGCAGAAAGGCTCTTGGGCAGAAAGGGTTGAGACCCTGGTGAAGCTCCACCTTCCAGTCAGGGATGGCCTGAAGCATGGGAGCCAGGCTGCCAGTGCTGTGTGAAGTCTGCAGCCCAGAGCTAGAACTTACAGTGCTTTTTCTGGGCCTGCCCATGGCCACCCATGGACCAATCAGCATGCACTTCCTCCCTTCTGAAGCTCATAAATATCTGACTCAGCCAGACTCATGGGGACATCAGGACTACCAGCTGTGAGAAGGAGCTACCCACTCTGGGTCTACTCTCCACTGAGTGCTGGATGCTTGTTGAGACACCCTGCCTACGGAAAGGAGCTACCCACTCTGGGTCTTCTCGCCACTGGGAGCTGTTTACTCATCAAGACAACCTGCCTACAGAAAGGAGCCACTCACTCCAGGTCTCCTCTCTGCTGAGAGCTGGACATTCATTGGGATGACCAGCTTGAGGATAGGAGCTACCCACTCTGAGTCTCCTTTCTACTGAGAGTTGGACACTAGCCAGGATGACCAGCCTGTGGACAGAAGCTACCCATTCCAGGTCTCCTCTCCACTGAGAGCTGGACACTCCTTGGGACAACCTGCCTTCAGAAAGGAGCTACCTACTCTGGGTCTCCTCTCCACTGAGATCAGGACACTCATCAGGATGATCTACCTGCAGAAAGAAGCTACCCACTCCAGGTTTCCTCTCCAGTGACAGCTAGATACTTGTGAGGATGAGCTGCCTGTGGACAGGAGCTACCCACCCAGGTCTCCTCTCTGCTGAAAGCTGGACACTTATCAGCACAACCTGACTGCAGAAGGACTTGCCCACTTTGGGTCTCCTGAGGGCTGTTCTGTTGCTCAGTGAAGCTCCTCCCTGCCTTACTCACACTCCAGCTGTCCACATAACTAATTCTTCCTGGACACTAGACAAGAACTCAGGAATTGCTGAATGGTGGGACTGAAAGAGCTGTAATGCAAACAGGGCTGAAACATGCCCCTTGATCACTACATTGTGGGTGACAAGAAAAAGTGGAACTGTAGCCCTTCGGGAAGCCCAGACACAAGGGCTTCCCCTACCAAAGCTGTGACATCCTCTTTTGGGCTCTGTTGTTTCCAGCATCTCCAAGCTTCTGGGTACCACCACATTCCCTGGTGGCCCCAGTAGAAGCCATTTGTGGTACGCCTGGTCCAGCCACATCCTCACATGAAGGCAGCACCTGTGCCTACACCTGGAGCTGCCCGCCCTGCTGCAGCCAGCATGCCTGGTTGTGCACAGCGGCCATAACCCAGGTTTGCTCACACTCCCTTCGCTGCTCTGTGCCTGGCTCACCCTTGGCAGGTGGGATCCAGGCCAAGAGCACAAGCTGAGTGTAGCCTGCCGGGCAGAGTGGGCAGAACAAGCCCAGTGCGCCTGAGCAAAACTGAGGCAGAGGTACTGCTGGCCAGTGAGGTTTCTGGATGGAAAACTGACACCCTAAGGATCCTGTGACAGAATCATCACCAATAAAAATAATTAAAATAATTAAAAACCCAAACCCGATGCATGATTACTGCATTTAAAACATTTTGTCCCTGTAGGGGAGTGAATGAGAGGTAGGGAAGGAGATGGAAGAATGTGAAGGATGAATGCAAAAATCCAAGCACTTAGTTTTGGCAGTGAAAACATGACAAATATTTAATATGAGAGTACAGTTTATAAATATAAAATAGACTTTACAAAACAACACCCATAAAAAAAGCCATATTGGGAGGCCGAGGCGGGTGGATCAGGAGGTCAAGAGATCGAGACCATCCTGGTCAACATGATGAAACTCCATCTCTATTAAAAATACAAAAAATTAGCTGGGCATGGTGGTGCGTGCCTGTAATCCCAGCTACTCAGGAGGCTGAGGCAGGAGAATTGCCTGAACCCAGGAAGCGGAGGTTGTGGTGAGCCGAGATCGCACCATTGCACTCCAGCCTGGGTAACAAGAGCGAAACTCTGTCTTGAAAAAAAAAAGCCATAAGGTTAATCAAAGTAATTTGTTTGAGGAACTTCTTTTAAAAGAGTGATATATTAAAATTAAAACATGCTTTTGCCCCTGCCCTTTTGGTAAATACATTCAAGCTAGAATTACGAAGTTTTAAGGTATTGGAAAAACACCTGAAAGGAAATATTCTGGTGGCAGTTGGAAATGTGGTTCTGCACTACAAGAGCAAAGCAAACTTCAAAGTGATGAGCATACACATGAGGTTTGATATTACAGCAATGGAGAGATCCATAAGGGAAGGTTAGTGAGGGGTCAGGGAGAAATAAGTGTAGAAAGCTCAATCTTAGGAAGGCCCATCAATTGAATAGCATAAAAAGAAATGATGGTTTTAAGAGGCAGAGAAAAAATAGGAAGACACAGAATAAAAGGTATCTCCTTAAGCTGATAAGCAACTTCAGCAAAGTCTCAGGATACAAAATCAGTGTGCAAAAATCACAAACATTCCTATACACCAATAACAACAGACAAACAGAGAGCCAAATCATGAGTGAACTGCTACAAAGAGAATTAAATACCTAGGAAATCAACTTACAAGGGATGTGAAGGATCTCTCTTCAAGGAGAACTATAAACCACTGCTCAAAAGAATAAGAGAGCAGGATTGGACCAAGAGGAAGATGGCACCGTAGGACCAACTCAGAATTGCAGCTCCCAGTCAATCCGCAGAGGGTGAGTAGACGCCGCATTTCCATACGGATCTTTATTGTCCACAAACTAGGAGATTCCTAGGTGTAAGAGCCCCATGGGCCGCGCGGCAGCTTGTGCCGGCACGGCTGTTTGGGCCAAGGCCGCAGCGCAGCGACACTCCGTACAAAATACACTGGTTTGGTTGCCCTGTTAAACCGGCAATTGGATATTTCGGAAGGCAGATTAGCACATTCATCTGATTAAACGAGACTTAAACAGAAAGCCAGCCCAGGAGATTCCCTGGCAGCAACGTGGTTTGAGCCGGCACAGTGGGTCGCTGCACAGGAAATCACACAGATCCCAGCGCCCTTGCAGCAGGCGACTGGAACACCTGTGAGAGAGTCAACCGCTCAACTTAAAAAAAAAAACGGGCTCTGAGGCAGGGAGCCAGATGATCAGGTTTGGTGGGTCCCACCCCCACAAAAACAAACAAAACAGCAATTGGAAACGCTTGGAGTTGAGAGTTTCACGGCAAGCACAGCAGACCCCACGATGGTGCAGCTCAGAGGGGGAAGGGCATCCGCCATTACCGAGGCACTCGACTGCTATGGAGCTATACAGCCTGCCATTGCCAAGGCAACCCGCCGTTGCCGGGGCAAACCACGATAACAGAGAGAGTCCACCACTACAGAGGTGAGCACACCCATATAAACAGGACTACAGGGAATTACACACAGCAGCAGGGCAGAGCCCACGGCAGCTCAAGATAGCCACTGCAGGCAAGCAGTGATTACACTGCCCCTTGCTGGGCAGGACAGTGCAACGGATACTCATAAATGGAGCACTAACTCCCTGGGACAGAGCACCTGAGGAAAAAAAGGGGGCTTTATGAATTCTGCTGCAGCAGACTTAAACGTACCTGCCTAACAGCCCTGAATGAACGGGGCTCAGAGCTCAGCACTTGAGCTCCTATAAAGCACAGACAGTCTCCTGAAGCAGCTCCCTGACCCTGGTATATCCAAAGAGTCACCTCACAAAGGACTGATCAGACTGACATTTGGCGGGCATTATTCAGGGACAAAGATAGCAGAAGAAGAATCTGGTAGCAACTCTCACAGTTCCGCAGCTGCTACAGGAGCTCCCCAGGCAAGCAGGGCCTGGAGTGAACCTCAGCAGTCCTACAGCAGTGGGGCCAGACTATTAGAAGAAAAACTAAGAAACAGAAATACTTCATCATCAACAATCTGGACGTCCACTCAGAGACCCAATCAGAAAATCAGCAACCACTCAGACGACAGGTGGATAAATCCACAAAGATGGGAAGAAACCAGTGCAAAAAAGAGGAAAACACCCGAAACCAGAACACCTCGCCTCCTAGAAAAGACCAAAACTTCTCACCAGCAAGGGAACAAAGCTGGATGGAGAATGAGTGTGATGAAATGACGGAATCATACTTCGGAAGGTGGGTAATGAGAAACTTCCGTGAGCTAAAAGAACATGTTCTAAATCAATGCAAAGAAACTAAGAACCTTGAAAAAAGATTTGAAAAAAGATTCAAGGAAATGATAACAAGAATGGACAACTTAGAGAGGAATATGAATGAATTGAAGGGGCTGAAAACCACAACACGAGAACTTCGCAAAGCATGCACAAGTTTCAACAGCCGAATTGACCAAGCAGAAGAAAGGATATCAGAAGTCGAAGATCAACTCAATGAAA